AATCCAAAATTTTTTAACAAGACATACAAGGTCCTTTGTGGTCTGGCCTTTGTTTACTTCTCCATCCACACTTCCCTCTGCTTTCCCTTTTCTCTGATCACACACAGTCACTCACCAAAGCAGCCAGAAGTCTCCCTTTTCCCTGAACATATCACTCTTTCCTCCCTCTGTGTTGATGCACACTATTCCCACTTCTTGAAATACCTCAATTTTCTACCTGACAAAATCCTAGCTTTCTGAGAAGCCCTCTCAATCACCCCTCCAATGCCTACTTCTGTGCTCCCTGGTGTTTTACCGACATCTCTGTCAGTGGGTTGCTATCAAAGAGATTCGGATTCACGGCAAGCCCATGTGTCTTAGAGTGGAACCGCATCCCATAGGGTTCCAATGGCTGGTTTTTCAGAAGTGGATTGTCAAGCCTTTTTTCAGAGGTGTCTCTGGGTGGCCTTGAATCTCCACCCTTTTTGTCAGCAGCAGAGTTAAAGGTCTGCACCACCCAGGGACTCCTGAGTTGCCACACTACCTGTTTGTACTTGTCTTCCCCAACTAGACATGAACTTCAAGGCAGTCTTTCTTAATTACCTCTGATTTGCCCAGCACAGTACCTGGCTCAGTCAGCATCAGTGTTTTGGAAAGGACTGGATGAAACAGGCAGAAACTAGTCCCCCAACGCATACTATGGAAGACAGTACAGTCACCATGCCCTCGACTCACATCCTCCCTGACCTGGAACTCTTTCCTCAGAGAGTAGGGGAAACGCGGGAAGGCAAGCAGGCGAGAGCAAGGGTCCTTCTGGCAGCAAAGATGGGCCTTGCACCTCTATCGGCCGGGGTTTTTGGTCAGCCTGTCCGTCTGCTCGGTCTGGTCTTTTCCCCTGGCCAGGGCCGTGGTGTGGGTCCTAGAGGCCACGCCAGCCTACGGACAGGGCAAGTCCCGCCGCAACAGCCCTCCCCAGCCCCACCTCCAAGCACACTTCCCGCCCAGGCTCACCCCGCCCGAAGAGTCGGCCGAGACCACTCATCGCGACTCTTGCCTCTCCTGCCTCCAGCCCAAGGCGTGTTCCACACTTCCGCCTTGCTCCTGGGAGGGCGAAGCCTCATCACTCAGCGACCAGCAGTGGCCAATCACTCCTATGGACACTGCGACGACATCATCAACAGACGCAAACAAAGCCACTTCTTCCACGTGACCCCAACCCTCAGCTTTAAATTAACGCACTCTTAAAGCAGCCATCTTCATTTTCAGCTCTATAAAGGCTGCTCTCCTACCCAATAATTGATTTATTCCAGAAAGGAAATATGCAAGATAATGGGAGCAGTGAAAGAGTTTTTCATGTCTTTTACCCTTGGCAGAGCTCAGGAAAGCGGGGTAGGGATGAGGTGCAGACCCTGATGCAGTCTATGGTCTCACACCCTGGTCTTGGCACTTCAGGACAGCCAACCCCAGTTCACACACTTACTGTTAGTTGCCTTTGAGTCGATTCCTACTCATGGTGATCCCATGTGCGCAGAGTAGATCTGCTCCATAGGGCTTTAAGGCTGTGACTTTTTGCAAGCAGATCGCCAGGCCTGTCTACTGAGCACCTCTGGGTGGATTTAAACTGCCAACCTTTCATCTAGTAGTTGAGTGCTTAACCCTTTGCACCACCCAGGGACTCCATTTAAACACTAGAAAAACAGAAACAACCCACACCGAGGGTAAGATCTTTTGTCATACACAAATACACTTTAATAATTTACAAATACACCTGAAAATGCCTTCCTGTTTTATGCTTCAAATGAGATTCATCTACAGGGTTGGGCCTCAGGGCCCAACTTGGGCCTTTGCAAATGTCTCTAACCCTTGAGTTAGAGTTTGAAGATTCATTCCATTCTGGACATGAACACAGGTAACACCTAAAAGGAAAGTTACATTTCACCAGACCTTCAGGGCTTTCCATTATTACTCTTAGCTTTTGTGGGCATCACCTGTCATGCAGACTATCCCAACCCCGCCTAGGGAACCCTTCACACTTCCCAAATGGCTGTCCTCAGCACTCAGTACCCAGTTTGCTGACGTCCACAATATTCCGCTTCTCATCATCAAAGAAGATCATCTGGGAGAAAGCAACTCCAGTCTTCTGCCGCAACCTGTGCAAGAGATGACAAGGGTAACCAAGCTGGCATCTTGGTTACTCCAGCCTCTCTGGTATTCTCTCTCCCTGCTCCTGCCCTTATTTCTGCATACCTCTGAAAGTGTGTGACCTTGCTGCCTGGATAGATTTCCAGCTGAACAAAGTATCTGACTAGGTCAAAGAGCTCCAGCAGCTGGTTGGCCCCTTCAATCTCACCTGTCCTGCAAAAAGATGTAACAAATGGGTTCAGGAGAGTGAATGCCCAGGGATGCAAATGAAGTTAAGTAAAATTTGGGGAAATCAACTTGCTATTTTTCCAGGATGGGTAAGCAACCTCAGTCCTTATCCAACTTCATATCCCTCCAGTCTGATACAGCAGGCACTCAATGTTTAATAAATATAAGACACAGAAGAAGGCACGATTAGGGAAGCAAAAAAAAAAAAAAAGCAAATTTGCACCTCCTAAACTTTTGCAGCCAGGGGTTATGCGAGAAGTCTTCCCAAGCATGCATCCTTCAGCACTAGACCGACAGTTTTTGTCAGTCGCTCTCCTCACCGGGAAGCAGCTGCGACTGGCACCCCCATGCTCTGCAGTCGTTCCAGGATCTTGGGCACGTCTGGGTACAGTCGGACAATCCGACCTCGGCTATCTCGTACAGCTCCATCACTGGTGAGGGCGACAGTGCGCTCAGCTCTGACCCGGCCCTCCTGACCCCTCCTCCCTAGCCCTGCCTCACCTGCTGCGGTGGAACGGTGGGTCTACGTGCGTGTCAACCCAGAAAGGCCAGAGCGTGTAATCTGAGAAAGGAGGGGGAGGTTCAGCCTTGAAAGGTTCAGGGCCTCGGGAGATTTTGTAAAGGGGAGCACCCTACGAAATTATCCCCATCTTCTCACCCAGGTCAAAAACTGCGAGCTTGGGGAGCCGTGACATGACCGATGTCCGCAGATTGCACGCACGGAGGCGGGGCTTTCTCCAGGGCCAGAGAGTGCTCGGCAACAGTCCAGCCGGTTGGAGGCCGTCCTGACTGGACACAGAGAAACGGCGCCTAGAGCGCCATCACATCAGGCTGCAGCTCAAGAGCGCCTCCTTGACCCTGGAGGAGTGAAAGGACTAAAGCACCAAGGAGCCCGTCCACAGAACCAAAAACAAAACCAAGCTGCCATCCAGTTGATTCTGACTCATAGCGAATCCCTTTGGGTTTCTGAGGCTGTAGAGTTCCGTAGATTGCCCAGTCCACCTTCCATGGAGTGGCTGGTGGATTTGAACCACCAGCCTTCTGGTTAGCAGTTAAATGCCTTAAGCACTATGCCACCAGAGATTTTTTTGTCCACGGAACAGTGCAAAAGTTTTCTTCTCTCCAAGCTATCAGCCATGTCAATGGTATGTTTAAAACTGTTTGGAGGGTAGTCTGATTTGTATGTTTACCAACTCCTGTAAATACTCCCACTAGGGTAAATTTTCATGGATTTGCGAAGAGATGCCAGTTAAGTGGCTGTCACAAACAGGTCAGAGCTGGCTCTAGCACATCACTGAGAGTAGGCTTTCCTAGAGTCCCATAGTCACTCTAAGAGCACTATTCCTTCCACTGTCCTACTCTTTCAGCCTGGTATAAATAGGTGAGCATTCAATCTATTTTTGTGTCAGTCACATTCATGCAATACAAGAAAGATTCCAGGAGGCCAGGAAATATTTTATTGACAACCAGGGACATAGCCATGAGAGGGGAGCACACAGGACCGCAAACTAAAACCCAATAGCAACCAAGAGCCCTTTGGGCCAGGAACACTGCATCCTGGGTTCCTCATAGTCTCCCACTAGCAGACACACAAGACTTGGCATCCATGGGAGGGGACAGTGGCTCTGGGGTCCCACAGAATGAGTGGATATATGATGCCTCATTATGAGTGACAGGGTAAGGAGGTAAAATGCAGGGAAGGTCCATCACTCCCTAAGACCACCTCCTCCTCTCAGAGCCAACACCAGATGGAGGACTGAACCACCTAGGATCTTGTAATCAGCTGCTGTCTTCTCATCATTCCTGCAGGGAGAAAATAAAAAAAAAAAAAAGCATTAGAAATACTATCTGGACTAGGGTTTTAAACCTGGGATTTACGGATCCCTTTAGGTAGGGGTCTATGAACTTGGATGGGAGAAAAATTATACCTTTATTAACTCCTAATTCAAATGTATTTCTTTTATTTCAGAATATAAGCAAACAACCACAGTAATATTAGCAAGATGGATAAATTGTTACATATCATATTACAACTTGTAAGTATCCTAAAAATATTTCAAAATTATGGTAGTTATCAGGCTCACCAGTAAATCTTAATGCATTAATAAAACACATTTTATCACAAGTACTTTTATAGTATTCTGATAATTAGATTTCAATATAGTAATTAATTTTCTTCATGCTATATATTTTATGACTGTAAAACCTTACTCTGAGAATGGGTTTTCATTCTTCATCAAGTTGCCAAGGTATCCCAATGCACCAAAAAAAAGGGCAGGCCTGATTTACCTTCAGTACTACTCATCTTCACCTAAGACTGCCATGCTTTTATTTCTATTTCAAACTTACATCTGTTTGCCACTGTAGATGAGCCGCTGTTGTTGTGGGGGGATTCCTTCTTTCTCCTCTACACGCTCCTTGATTCGCTCCACCTTCAGGGAAACAAGTAGTCAGGGGCTGCTTCTTGTTGTTGTTGTTATGTGCCGTTGAGTTGGACCCAACTCATAGCGACCCCTCCTTGGATTTCCGAGGCAGTATCACTACAGAAGTAGATTGCCCCATCTTCCTTCCGAGGAGTGGCTGGTGGGTTTGAACCGTCAGCCTTCTGCTTAGCAGTCAAGTGCCTTAGGCACTATGCTACCAGAGCTCCCCAGGGGCTGCTTAGGTAGGGGTACCAAAACCAAACTCATTGCCGCGGAGTTGGTCCTGACTCATAGTGACCCCTCCTTGGGTTTCCAAGGCGTTATCACTACGGAAGTAGATTGCCCAACTTTCCTTCCGAGGAGTGGCTGGTGGGTTTGAACCGCCAGCCTTCTGGATAGCAGTCAAATGCCTTAGGAACTACGCCACTAGAACTCCCTATGCCATCGGAGCTCACAGGCAGGGGTAGGACCGTGGAAACAGAAAGAACAAGGGCTATGCAGACAGTGTGAGGAAGAAAGGACCAAGTTCATAAGCACACCCAAACAAATGTACATGGCAGGGAGAAGGGCACGTAGGTGTTGAGAATACATCACCTTGTCTGTGGGTTCAATGTCAATTTCAATCTCCTTTCCAGTCAGCGTCTGAAACAGGCAAAGATTTCATGAGTCTTACAGCCTGATACACTTACAGTTTGCCTTCTAGGTCTCTAGGGATCTACTATCTTCTGAAAGATGCATATTCTCAGAAAAGTTGTTTGGAAGAATCAGAAGACTTTGACCATACTTGTATTCATCAAACATTTTAGGTCGTGGACAACACTGGTAGGAAAAGATTCTGCGTGCCATCTAACCCTCTTAATCCCAGAGGCCATCTTTCCCCTCAACCCTTACCAAAATCAGTGAAAGTACTGGCATTCCTTTGGATGTGACTCCAATCAGAGGTGTCTTAAGGAAAGTATTCCTTCATGTCAGAAAGACTTGGTCTATTATATGTATCAACACTAGATATTAACACTCAGATAATTCAAAGAATCCTCAAGGACACAGGAGATCATCTCTGACCAACTTTTTAATAAACAGAATTCTCCCAAATCTTTGCAGACTACTACCTATATCCTAAATTGCAGCTTTGGACTTGGGGACTTCTTCTGTAAGTGCTGCTGTTATCCAAACACAGTAGTTAAATTGTACAGTCATGTATCTTGTGCTCCACCTAATCTACTCTCCCATCCTTCCTAACTCTCTAAAACTTTAGCCCCACCAGTTTACAGTGATTTGGACAATAAACACACCATGCAGTCTAACTTAGGAGCATTTCCTTCTATTTCTTTCCTTGCTGCAATACCCTTCCCTTTCCTCAAACCTTCAAAAATCAGTTGCTGTTGATTCCAACTCATGGTGACACCATGGGCGTCAGAACAGAACCGGACTCCCTAGGATTTTCAGTGGCTGCATTTTAGAAGTAAATTGCCCAGCTTTTCTTCCAGTGTGCCTCTGGACAGATTTCAATCTCCAACCTTTCGGTTAGCAGCAAGTGTTGTTAACCATTTGTATCAGCCAAGGACTCAAAAACTCATTCCCACTGCAATTTATAACTACCTCCCTTTACACCTATTCCAGCTTCCTAAATGTCAGAGGCTTTATTCATCTTCCTAACTCCAAGTATAAAGCACAGTGTTTGGCATGTTTTTTTTTTTTTTTAAAAAAAGCCCACTGCTGTCAAGTCGGATCCGACTCATAGCGATCCCTCCTTGGGTTTCCGAGGCGGTATCACTACAGAAGTAGATTGCTCAACCTTCCTTCCAGGGAGTGGCTGGTGGGTTTGAACCACCAGCCTTCTGGTTAGCAGTCAGATGCCTTAGGCACTATGCCACCAGAGAGTATGGCATATAAGCAGTCAATAAATATTTGTGGAAGGGTTAAAGACACCAATGATATAATAATTACAGCCAACATATAATCAATACTTTCCAAGTGTCAGAAACTATGCTGAGTGCTTTATATGCATCAACACTTAATCCTTGAAAGTTCCTGTTATGTATTACCATTTTATAGATGAGGGAAATGGAGTTTGGATAGGTTAAATATCATGCCTATGCAGCCAAAAGTAGAGAAGTATGGATCCAAACAGATTCTCCAATTCCAGAGTCTGCGCTGTTAGCTCTGTACTCTGGACTGCCTAACTTGTGCCTGGCTGGTCTAGGATTGGGACCCAATGTATATTCCTGCAGTAGCTCACAAAATGACATATGGTTCCTATCTATGGTATTCATTCACATAGACCAGAATGAAGAAAGTACTGAGAAAAACTCCCGACCATGAGGATGGTTCAGCACTACATATGTTTCCAAAATGCAAAATCAACTCTTTTGGATTTATCTGCTGAACCACAGAAGAATAAATTACAACAGTGATTCTCAAATTCCCATTCCAAACCAAGCTGGTCTGTGTGAAAATTCCAACGCACCATGACAAATTGAGGAAAATTATGACAACAGTGAGATTTTCATGAAACTAAATATATCCAGGTACTGAAATGATCTTTTATAAAATAATGGTAATTTTTAAGGTCCCTATCTGACAAAGCGAGCTGTGGTGGTGCTGTGGTTAAGTGCTTGCTGCTAACTGAAAGGCAAGTGGTTCTAATCCACCAGCCATTCTGTGGGAGAAAGATGTGGCAGTCTGCTTCTATAAAGATTGTTGTTGTTGTTATGTGCCGTTGAGTCGGCTCCTCTATAAAGATTACACCTTTGGAGATCCTATGGGGCAGTTCTACTCTGTACTACAGGGTTGCTATGAGTTGAAATTAACTCAACTACAATGGGTTTGGTTTTTTTGGTTTATGGACAAAGTGAAAATTTGTAATTCTGTGTTGTCCACAATTATTTCACTTTACTGATCTTATTGTTTTTTGTGTGGTACAATATACATACCATAAAATTCATTATTTAAACAATTTTTTAGTGTACAATTCAATGCCATTAATTATATTCATAGCATTACATAACCATTACTACATTCTATCTCCAGAGCTTTATCATCCAAAACAGAAACTCTATATCCATTAGCAAATAACTCATTACCCCTCCCTCCCATCCTCTAGTAACCTCTATTCTATTTTGCTCCTTATGAATTTGCCTATTCCAAATATAAGTGGACTCATACAGTATTTGTTCTTTTATGTCTGACTTATTTCACTTACCATGTCTCCAAAATTTATCCATGTTGTACCATATACATACTTCCTTACTTTTTAGTGTTGTATTAATATTCCATTATATGTATATACCACATTTTGTTTATTCAGTCACCTGTTGACACATATTTGGGTTGTTTCCATCTTTTGGGTATTGTGCATAGTGCTGCTATGAACACTGGTGTACAAGTTATCTGTGTGAATCTGATCTTACCAGTTTAATGCAAAGATGCTTCAACTAGGTAATTCCATTTCTAGGTAGTTAACTTGTAGGAGAAAATTGGGGACATATCCAAAGAGGCCCATGTGAGGGAAACCATAGCACTGTTTGTAAAAACAAAAAACTAAAAATAGCTTAAAAGAGCATTAAAAAGAAAAAGAATAAACTATAGAACATCTATAGAATGGTACATTATATAATAATTTATACACTAACATGGAAAGATACAAAGAATGTAAAATTCTTTAAATACATAATTACCTATTTTCTATATGCAGGTATATACATATGTAATATGTACACACATAGGGAAAACAAGGATTGGAAGTCTATATATAGCTGGTAGTATTGGTTATCTTTGAGAAGCGAGCAGGACTGAGGGTGGCGGTTGTTGGCAGGCCTTGAGTTGACCCTGACTAGGAGCTCTGGTAGCATAGTACCTAAGGCACTTGACTGCTAACCAGAAGGCTGGCGGTTCAAACCCACCAGCCACTCCTCGGAAGGAAGGTTG